GGTTTCCTGGCTATGGACATTGGATGTCGTTGATAACGGGATCACATCATTAGGAGAATGATGTGATGGACAAGACCCAATCCTAAGACTAGCACAAAGATCGTGTAGTTCGTTTGCTAGAGCTTTGCCAATGTCAAGTATCTCTTCCTTTGACCATGAGATCGTGTAACTCCTGGATACTGTAGGAGTGCTTTGGGTGTATCAAACGTCACAACGTAACTGGGTGACTATAAAGGTGCACTACAGGTATCTCCGAAAGTATCTATTGTTTTATGCGGATCGAGACTGGGATTTGTCACTCCGTGTAAACGGAGAGGTATCTCTGGGCCCACTCGGTAGGACATCATCATATGCGCAATGTGACCAAGGAGTTGATCACGGGATGATGTGTTACGGAACGAGTAAAGTGACTTGCCGGTAACGAGATTGAACAAGGTATCGGTATACCGACGATCGAATCTCGGGCAAGTAAAATACCGCTAGACAAATGGAATTGTATACGGGATCGATTGAGTCCTTGACATCGTGGTTCATCCGATGAGATCATCGTGGAACATGTGGGAGCCAACATGGGTATCCAGATCCCGCTGTTGGTTATTGACCGGAGAACGTCTCGGTCATGTCTGCATGTCTCCCGAACCCGTAGGGTCTACACACTTAAGGTTCGATGACGCTAGGGTTATAAAGGAAGCTTGTATGTGGTTACCGAATGTTGTTTGGAGTCCCGGATGAGATCCCGGACGTCACGAGGAGTTCCGGAATGGTCCGGAGGTAAAGATTTATATATAGGAAGTCCTGTTTCGGCCATCGGGACAAGTTTCGGGGTCATCGGTATTGTACCGGGACCACCGAAAGGGTCCCGGGGGTCCACCGGGTGGGGCCACCTGCCCCGGGGGGCCACATGGGCTGTAGGGGGTGCGCCTTGGCCTACATGGGCCAAGGGCACCAGCCCCAAGAGGCCCATGCGCCTGGGGAAACCCTAAAGGAAGAGTCCCAGCAGGGGAAGGCACCTCGTAGGTGCCTTGGGGGGGGGAGGACTCCTCCCCTGGCCGCCGCCCCCTTGGAGATTGGATCTCCTAGGGGCTGGCGCACCCCCCCCTTGGGATCCCTATATATAGTGGGGTAGGAGGGCCTCCCAAAACACACCTTATGCCTTTGGTGCAGCCCCTCCCTCTCTCCCAAGTTCTTCTCCTCTCCCGTGGTGCTTGGCGAAGCCCTGCGGGATTACCACGCTCCTCCACCACCACCACGCTGTTGTGCTGCTGCTGGATGGAGTCTTCCTCAACCTCTCCCTCTCTTCTTGCTGGATCAAGGCGTGGGAGACGTCACCGGGTTGTACGTGTGTTGAACGCGGAGGTGCCGTGCGTTCGGCACTTGATCATCGGTGATCTGAATCACGACGAGTACGACTCCATCAACCCCGTTCACTTGAACGCTTCCGCTTAGCGATCTACAAGGGTATGTAGATGCACTCCCCTTTCTACTCGTTGCTGGTCTCTCCATAGATAGATCTTGGTGTTACGTAGGAAATTTTTTGAATTTCTGCTACGTTCCCCAACAGTGTGATGTCGCGCTGCGGAATACGTCAGCAGATTAGATTTGTGTTAATATTATTCTCTCTGTGGCAATACGTGGAAACTTATTTTGCAGAGCCGGACACTACTCTTGGTGTTTACAAACTTTTATGAAGAATCTGGAGGAGGAACCCGCCTTGCAATGCCGAAGACAATCTACGCGCCGGACTCGTCGTCATTGAAGTCTGGTTCAGGGGCTACTGAGGGAGTCCTGGATTAGGGGGTGTTCGGGTAGCCGGACTATACCTTCAGCCGGACTCCAGGACTATGAAGATACAAGATTGAAGACTTCGTCCCGTGTTCGGATGGGACTTTCCTTGGCGTGGAAGGCAAGCTTGGCGATGCGGATATTCAAGATCTCCTACCATTGTAACCGACTCTGTGTAACCCTAACCCTCTCCGGTGTCTATATAAACCAGAGGGCTTTAGTCCGTAGGACAACTTTATCATACAACAATCATACCGTAAGCTAGCTTCTAGGGTTTAGCCTCCTTGATCTCGTGGTAGATCTACTCTTGTACTACCCATATCATCAATATTAATGAAGCAGGATGTAGGGTTTTACCTCCATCAAGAGGGCCCGAACCTGGGTAAACCATCGTGTTCCTTGCCTCCTGTTACCATCCGGCCTAGACGCACAGTTCGGGACCCCCTACCCGAGATCCGCCGGTTTTGACACCGACAACGTGCCACCGACCATCGGGGTGGCGTTGAGGTCGATGGGCGCGGACGCGGGCGTGGAAGGCGCGACCACGCTCATGTCAGGTGAGCACTCCCTGGAGAGGCGGGAGGCCTGCGGTAGACGTGGAAGCCGGGGACCGGGTTGCAAGCCGACGCGCGGGATGAGTCCGGCAGCACCATCCGAGGAAACGCCGACGAGGCGGTTCTGGCGGCGGCGACAGCGGCTTGGATGAGGATGTGCTGGCTAGGGTTTACCCCTAGCATGTAGAGCGCCTCCCTCGTTGCCGCTGCGACGCAGGCGTTGGTGAAGTCCTGCTGCGCGGCGACCTCATCCCTCGCGTCCGCGGCGTGTCTCTGGCCCTTCCTCTTGGCCGATTCCCTTCCCCGCTGTTCAGGCGTCAGCGCCTTCTTCGGCTTGGTCGCGGCGGCGGTCTTGCGTGGGGCATGAGGCTTGCCTTTCCCGGAGGGGGTGACGGCGCCGGACGAGGCGAGGGAGACGAGGCAGGTGGCGGCGTCGAAGTCGAGGTCGATGGCGTCCTCCATGGCTAGTTGGGGGGCGAGAGCGCGCGCGGGCGGGAGTGTTTTTGGGAAAAATGGAGGGAAATGGTGGTGGTTGTCACCGACCGACGGACCCGGGGAGAGGAGTAGGCGCGCGCGCCCGTCCGTCTCGTGTCTGCGTCGATGCAAATCCGGCTTAAAATTGGACTGGGAATGGATCGCCCGCGGACGCGGGCGGACGAAATGGGTCGCCCCATTGGAGTTGCTTTAAGGGGTCTCCCCACCATATTGCATCGTTCGACCATGTAATTTGGTTTTTTCCTTTATTTATAAAGCGGGCGAAAACCTATTTTAAGATAAAATATGAGGCCAGTTGTTGCTGGACTATTCTAGGCCGGCTCCATGTGTCCAAAACAAAGCAAAGCAAAGGGGCGGCTCCAACCGGTCCCAGGCTTGAAAATCAATTTCCGCTTTTGTAAGACGCATACACTGTGAGAATACGGTCCAGTCTGCCTCCCCCCTCCGGACTAGATCTGGCTTCCTGGAAGAGACAGCCAGCTTGAGCTCCCCGTTCCGCACTCGCCGCCCACCAGACCCGGACCAGTGGCCGCCGCCATTGAGCTCCAGCCGGACCGATCCGCTCTTCAGGTTAGGCCTCGCCCGACTCATCATTTCTTCTGCTCCTCCCCAAGATCTACTCTGCTTCTGCTTTTGGTCAGAGGAGCAAGTTATTACTTTTTTTTAGAACGGCTAGAGGAACAAGCGCGTCGAGAATCTCGGCTGTGGCCATCTCCGACGTGGGCGACGGCCCGACGACCATGCCCAAGACAGAGCAACAACCTCTTCCCTCTTGCTCTTGCTCTTGCAGCAAGAAACATTTTCCCTCCGTGTCCCTGTCTGGGCCCACACGTCATTTGTTTTAGGACGATTTTGCCCTCGGGTTGGTCGTTTCCCCTGGTCTGGTTCGACCCAGCCTTGCGTGCTCGAATGAAACGACCAAACACAGGAGGTGAAAGACGGCGCCGCCATCTCGCCGTGCTCTGCTTCCTTATCGGCGCACCGCCACCTCGCCGTGTCTCGAGTCCCGCCGCCTTGAGACCGCGCCCATATTTATTGTCGCTGATAAGTAGTTTTTCATTTTTCTGATATGTTCGACTCTTTTCTTCTTTGAGAAAACTGTGTACTGGCGAATTTCTGAAAGTACATTCCTCATTTGCATTTCCCTTTTATGTCCGGGACAAATTAAAGACTGAAGTACGAATTTCTACTCCCCCACACTGACTGACTGGATGTGGTAATTTATTTTTTGTTGTGTTTTTGAATTTACACTTGCAAAACTAAACTAAAATGACACAATATCTATTTTCAAGTGGTAGCAGTAGCATATCTACTACGGAGAAGGATTCTTGCTATTTTTCAAGTGTGTCGTACTAAAAGCTCCTGATTGATTCAGCAAAAAGAAAAATATGATGAAACTACTCTGTCCAACAGGTACGTGGTCCGAGACACAGGAAATCTAGATGGGGAGTATCATGAAACTATATTACGAGTGGGAAATCCAGGTGCTTGTGCTCCTTAGCTTCATGCTACAAATGTTCCTCTTCTTCGCCGGCAGCCTTCGGCGGCGTGGCATCAACTCGTTTCTCAGGTTCTTCACTTGGATAGCTTATCTGGGCGCGGACTTAGTGGCAGTTTACACCCTGGGCTACCTCTCGGGCCATGAGGATGCCACCACCGGACTATCTTTCTTCTGGGCACCATTTCTTCTCATCCATCTTGGTGGGCAGGACACCATTACTGCTCTCGCCATGGAGGACAACAAGTTGTGGTTGAGACATTTACTGACCCTGTTTATGCAAGTTGTCCTAGCTTTATATGTTTTCTGGAAGTCCATTGACAAACACGGCGTGGAGCTTCTAGTTTCGGATGTCTTTGTGTTTGCTGCCGGAATTATCAAGTATGGAGAAAGGGTATGGTCTCTCAAGTGTGGGAGCTTTGAAACCCTCCAGGGTTCCACTGGACAACAGTACAAGCAACAGGTGCCGGGAGAGGTTGCCGAGGATCCCTATTCTCACATTGTTTGCGCTGTCCTGCATCGTATGCCACGTGTCTTTCGAATCTTTACAGCACGATCAGGTGATAGCGGTAACGTTATCCAACAAACCCCAAGCAATTGGGTGAAGCGGATGAGGCTCGAGCTTGGCATGATGTACGATGATCTGTATACTAAGTCCTGTGTGCTCAGGACAAGGAGTGGCATCATATTGCGATGCATCTCTCAGGTGTCTGTTCTGGTTGCCTTGGTGCTCTTCCTCACGAGCGACAAACGGAGGTACAATAGAGCCGACATTGCAATCACCTGGTCGCTCTTCGTAGGATGCTTTTTGTTGGAAGTATGTGCCACGTTTATTTTGATAATGTCACCATGGTCCTGGGCGTGGTTGAAGATGCGAAGGTGCGGCATGCTTGCAAAGTTGTCCTGGTTTCTCCTGTGCAGTGGCATTGGATGGCCAGAGAGGAAGCCATATCTAAATTCAATTGGGCAATACAACTTCCACAGGTGGTTGGATTCAGGCAGCGACCAGCCAAGGTCATATAGTCGACGAGCAATGACCACGGTGATCAAAAGCTTGGTGAATTTGGTTGGTGTCAAAGAGGATAAAATGTTGTTCTGGATGAGCAGGTTGTTAGACACCGAGCACGTGGAGGCAGATAAGGAGACGATGGAGTGTGTTGTCAAGGGAATTACTGACTTCCATGCTGAAATCAACAGAGATCCCCGGCAGTGGCCAAAACTTGGCGGCATAGTGCAAGAGCTACAAGACATTCGTGAAGATTTTGGTGGAAAGGTTGCTTTAGTGCATTTTATCACAGAGGCACACTTGAGGAAATATCCTCTTCACCCTCCTTCGGACATGGAGACAGACACAGGTACCAGCTGCAGTGTCTTGGTGGAAGTATGCCGGAAACTATCCAACTACATGGCATACCTTTTGGTTACCCACCCTTCGCTGTTGCCGCTCAATGACAGCGCCTTATATACGCTGGAGAAAATGGCACACTTGTTTCCACATCTTATAGATGAGCAGCAGGATTCTGAAGGTTTCTTCAGCATCGAGCCAAGCATGGAAACACTGCAGGAGTTGGTAGACATATGGACCAAGCTGCTCATCTATGCGGCCACCAAGTCCCGGCCGGAGCTGCACGCGGCGCACTTGGCCAGAGGAGGGGAGCTTATCACCTTCGCCTGGCTGTTCTTGAGCCACAACTTTTTGGGAGATTCCGAGGTGATCAAGGTGCAGCTTACCAATGCCAATCAAAGAGGGACGATAGCATACGTCTTCGGAAATCCTGCACCAAGATAAGAGCACCAGATCCTACACAAGCCCTGCAGAGTGCAGACTCCTCTGTTCTTCATTAGATTTGATTTTACTCCTCTTCTGTTTGCGTCTGGCGTATGTCACGACGCAAAACAGTACTGAAGTTTATACAGTACCGCAGCTGACATCTAGAGGTATGTGACATTTAATTTTTTGCATTAATGGCATCACTTCAAAACTGATGTATTTGAGTGAATAGGCAGTGCAAAAATACCATCCGCTGTATTACTACATTCCTTTGTTGTGGTAGCATCATTTATACACTGCAGCTACAATTGGGATGCTTAGCTGTTACTGTACTAACTGAAGCCAGAAAAAGAACTTAATCTATCCATGTGGGTAGAACAGGAACTGAGAAGCCAAAAAAAAAGGCTACTGCGAGGTAAGTCATAACATATTTGTATGGAGCAGTAGCTTTCAAGACTGCTTCTGAGACTTCATAATTCACAAACTTATGATAGTATGCTTCAACAAGCAATTCAGGCTCAAAGTTTATAACCCACCCTAACTAATTAACACGGCTATGTGTGAAATGATCCCAAATAGCGCAACTACTGTTCTTTCCAAATAGCGTCACATTCTCTGGCTGTTGTGAGATCAACAAATTCCATAGTATGATCAAATATGGTAACTAAGAGTTTCCGTTTGAACCCTCAGAAGCTGCTAGGTGACAAAAGTCTAAAACACTGGAATAGAGTAAGTATCATCCTCACAAACTTGTTCCATTTTTCTCTATCTCAAGAAAAGCATCATCATGTCCCTGGCAATCACAAATAATTCTAAGACCACCATAGTACTCCAAATTACAGAACAGTTCTGCAACTTATGACTGGATCTTCGAAGTCAGGTCACTATTAGGAGGAGCTTATAACATGGCTGAATCTTTTTGTAGTCAGCTCATTATCAGGAGTAGCTGCAAGACATGATTTGTGATGGTGAGGGTATAGTGGCAGACTTCATCTATCCAGAGCTGAGACGGAGCTCACTAGTTAAGGCTACATTACAATTGGCTGTTAAGGTGGAAGAGGAGTGAATACACATGAATGACAAGCAAATCAGTATCAGCAGCACAACCCCTCAGAGAAAAAGCAGAGGTTTGACACGTCATTGGCAACTTAGGCATAGGGGCACATGTATTAATTACTCACTCATGATAATCATGAAAGACTTGGACATGTTAATCTCTCAGAAAAAGATACATGTATGCATTTTTGTTGTCATGTATGCACGTATGTATGTTTGCATCTGAAGCTAGATCGTCATGGAATTGAATGCAGTTGTCGGGTTACGTTAGTACTATAGTAGTATTAGTTGATTTCTGTTGCAGCACCATCAGTGTATTCGATGTTAGAAGTATAATTGTGCTTAAGATAGAGAAGAGTTAGAGATAGAATAGGTTTAAACATGTACGACTTGCCATCTACTTCAAGTTTTTTTCCTTCACATTGTACTCCTATATATACCCCATATGAGTGCCAGATCAATACAACACAATAGAGATATTTGGCATCCTATATTTTCTATATTTGAAACATACACATGGCAGCTGAAAAGGGATGTAGGGTGCAGTTGGCTCACTGACAGGTGGGCCAACCTGCTTCTGGGCCCACATGTCAGTGAGCCAACTACTTCCTGCAGTATGTTAGAGGAGCCTCGTCCGATGTTTGATGGCCAGAGTGAGCTTCTCAAGCTGCAGCGGAAGAGTGATCCATGGAGCTAGCTAGCGTGCTATGCTCTAGAACCGTACTTAACTACGAAGAATCGGTGTAATTCATGGACGTACACTAATTAATGGCAACCTGGCACTCACATATAATTAAAGCCATAGCTAGAGTTTACTAAAAGTTTTCAGAGCATCATTTCTGTTTAAAGAAGAGATCGACAGAGAACAACTAATACAAAGTAGCAAAGATGTAAAGTGAACCATCAGTCTTTATTGATGATGTTGATAGTTATACTCCCTCCATTCCACAATGTAGTGCTTCCTCTATCCACGTGCTTTAACTTTGACCGTAAATTTAACTATCAAGACCGATTGCGGCGGGGGCAAAAGTTATATCAGTGAATTCGTATTCAAAAGAAGTTTTTAATTATTTAATTTTTTCTCCCGCCGCAGTCGGTCTCGTTCGTTAAATTTATGGTCAAAGTTCGACCTCGGGAAGCGTGATGCACTATATTTTGAAATGGAGGGAGTACATGGGAAACAGAAGCGTTTGGAAAGGCGTGATGAGCAATCATCACGATTGTCCCAAAGAGGCAATTGTCATATGGTTCCTATTAAGCAGGGATTAACCCACTAATTAACACTAGTTATTTTTTGCAAGAAGTAACACTAGTTAATTAACCCTAACAATTTCATTGGACCCAGGCCGGGTCCAGCAAAACATACTCCCCCGGCAAGAATGATCCGGCGGATGCTGGGCCACGGCGAAGACGAGATCAGTTCGCCATGCTTTTGGTTTCCTCTAATATCCCAATGAACCAACTAAATGAAAATCTCAAGTGCTTTTCTTTTCTAGCCAAGAGGTACTCAACTCTGAATCAATCGTCGAGAAGCCTTGGCTTATATAGATAGATGTGGAGATGGATCATGCATGCTAAGCTCCTTCACATCTTTATTGCCACGCCAAGCCATGACATGCATCGTGCGTGTGCAGCTTGCAAAGAAATGCCAGATTCACAAGTTCTAGGCAATTTTTTTCTATAGTTTTTTTTTTGGTCTGTTTAGGACACATCTAGATGTGACATAGTTATGTAACATCTAACATGATGTCCACTATGTTTGTGGTCTGTTTTTTTTTGTCACAACTTTTTTTTGTTTCTTGTTGCTACCTTATCTGTGGGAGATTAGATGTGACATCCTTAAAAAACATCTAGATGTGAATTAGACAAACTGTTTTTTTTTGCATGTTGTCGCCCCACTGCTGTGATCACTTGATCACAAGAACACTACTTTTCGTCCTAGGGAGTTGGCTCCTCCACGAACCAACCAGGAAAAATCGATGTTACAAAGCACACATCAAGGGGGGAAACACAACAGCCACGGTGACACTCGCGAGTTACGATAGCTTCCCTGAGAGAGCTGGGCCTAAACTTGGAGGGGACGAGCCACTCTGTTGGTTCCCCTTGGATTATGAGTGAAAATAACATGACCAAGACGCGTTTATTGTGAGGTAGCACTCTGCTGGATATGGAGTTTCTTAGGTCCAGCTCGTATGAGCTTGGTTGAACAGTAAAATCATAAAAAAGTCAATTTTTTTAGCAAACAATGTATAAGTCTAATGTTGTCAATGCTTGTAAAGTTTCATCGTGAAATGACATTGGTAGAAGCCATGACAAAAAAGTCGATGCTGCAGAAATGTCATTTCCAAAAGTATTTTGGAGTGAAGATTTTGTTTTTTACTTCACGGCTTCTACAAATGTCATTTCACATTGAAATTTAACAACCACCCAAAACATTTTTTAGTTATTTTCTTTGTTTTACTGTTTATCCTGACCTCATTTGAGCTCGGGACGGAAAGAGTACTTTTGCACTCTGCTCTTCTCTTTTTTTTTTTAGAAGTGGTACGTGCGAGTTTACTCGAATCACAACATCCGGGCTCGATCCCACGAGCTCAGCGCACCGGCCCACGAGGAAACCGGACCGAAAGAGCACCGGTCCGTCCATGTAACCAGCCCACCAGCCCGAACGACCGCACCACCGTTATCCAGTACCCGGCTCAACCGACCGAGCCGCACCCGGACCCGGACCCGATGTCGCTGGTCGCCTACGACGCCTCCTCCGACGAGGACGAAGCCGGCGACCCTCCCGCCGCCGCCGCCGCCTCCGCCCCCGCCCCGGCC